CGACAATCGAAATATTCTTGCGCAACGCAGTACGTTCGCACGTATATTGCCGGCTAATCAATTTTTCTGGAAAAGTGATAAAAATAAAAGCATTGAAACGATGAACTCGAAGAATTTGGCAGTGTTTTTGGAAAACTGATAGATTCTTTGAATTCATCGCTTTAATGTTTTTATATTTTTCTATTTATTTATTTTTTTTACCGTTCAAATATAACAATCGGAATGCACCACTATGTAAGAATTTGAGATCTAAAAGTATTAATTGTGAAACTGGCAGAGGATTGATCCTCGAGATCAGTTCGACTCCACAAATATATTTAAAAATTAACGAAAAGACGATTAATTTTTTTACGAGCAAGATCGTTGCTTTGATTAATTTAATTGCAGTCTGCAGAAATAAATTAAAAGTCCTTTCGCGGCAAAGATGAATTTAATATAGCGAATTCTCGATCGTAGAACTTCGTAGAGGTGCGAAAAAAAGCGCTTCCTCTTGCGTTCGGTTAAGGGGAAAGATATACGTCTTCTCGATAGGATGTGGAAAATGGCGGGTCGAGCTTGTCGACAGTCACCATTTTAAACCGGCTCATATAAAAGGACGCGCCCGCGCATTTACGCGGTCGGACAGCCACCCCTACGGGGTGGTGCGACTAATCGATCGGTCGTAAGGAACTTCCCGGTAAAAGATATCGACCCGCCCTCTCGAGAAGGATCACCGGTTGGCATGCACCTCGCATAATTAGATTCCGTTGAAAGAGAGTTGGATAACAATGGAGCGGGATTATTGGATAACGGATCATCTCGTTATTGGCTTCTTGCGATCCTTGTTTTTACTGAGAGAGAAAGACAGAGAAAAAAAAATATGAAGAGAATTAAACAAGTATTGATAAAACTGATGTTTCTTTTCTTTTCGCTCTCATACGTCTAAACATATCGCTCGTATGTCTAAAATTGAAAAGACGCAACTCTGCTGCTCTTGCATTCTCCTCATGGCATCCATGATACGATAATACGATGGGACGAACGAACAAGAGAAAAGAAGAGAGAGAGAGAGAAAGGGAGAGGGCAAGAGAGGGTAGTAAGAATATTCTCCGTAATTAAGTCCCGCCACTTCCTCGACTCGATGCGGCGCGGTGCGAGAGAGTGAAAGAGAAGGAGATAGCTATAAGGACTATCCGTGGAGAACGCGGCAAGAGAAGAAACGCGAAGAAAAGAAGCGGCAGAGCGAGCAAGAGAAGGGGGCGAAAAAAGGAGGCACGACGATCGAGCAATAAATAATACAGGGGAAAAAGGCGATCGCGCCTGCAACATTCTGCTCAAATGTTAAATAGGTATCAATTTAACAGCGACCAATGTGCAAGTCCGTGGGCGTAGAGAGCCGTTGCCGGATTGGTTGGACCAACCAACAGTGGGCGAGGCTACCTGGAACTCGGGTGCCGGGAGTCGGCGACGCATCTCGCCGTCCTGGTAGGGATAAACCATCTGGCTTCACCGGTACCCTCACAACGTCTGGTCTCTCTCGACGCGACCGATCCGGATTCACGCACTCGCTGACGCTCCGGTTAAGCCACCGAGGACTCCGAGTTTTTGACGAAACGAAGAACGAGTTCCCACTCTCGTCATTTGGATGATCGCGCGAACGCGGCCTGTTATGTTTTCATGAAGTGCGAAGTCCTTCGCCGCGTGCGTCTTTCGTCTAGTGTTCCTGAGAAATTGGTTTCTCGGCTCTGAGACTGAGACCTGTCAAGATTCGGGCTTATCGTTAGTGCGAGGTCGAGTGTTTTCCGGGAGGAAAAAAATTTTCTCGGTACGATTTCCGATCGACGTAAAGTGACCCACGAAACAGCAGAGGTATTTGTTTTCTTTGTTCAAAATGACAGAGAGACCAGCCTCGAAAGAGGCTCGTTGGTTCCCGATACGCGTTATGAAAAAGAGACGTGATTCAAGAATGGATTTTAGTTTTTGAAGACAGAGTTGATGTATCGACACGGACAGAATTGTTGTTTATGTGTCAAAAAGAATCGATGGCTGATCAAGTCAGTGAACGAAATCAGTGAAATTCGCGCTTGGAATGTAGCATCTCAAACTGGTTAAAAAAGAGTGAAGAGAGAAAGACGGTGAATCAGCGAGAAAAAATTTGGGGAGAAATGAATATATTCGGTAAGTTTTTCCGTCCTGTGTATATAAATGGTACCAGCGTCGGTATACATGCGTAGAAACAAAATGGCCGCCGCTCAACGTGAAATTTATGAGATGGTCCAGGTCAAATTCATTGTGCAATAAATTTAAACGCTCGTCGAACTCTTGAATCCATCGTAATCTAGTCCTTCCGAACAAAAAGTTCTCCCGAATTAATCTTCTCCATTCCATCATTCGTTCCCATGACCTGTCGCTTCGCGGATTGTTGTATACCGTGTAACAACTCCCGATGAAGATACCCGCTGTTTGAAACATAAATCTTTTCGTGGAAACCGATACCAAGCGCCGAGTTCTCGCGAGGAGAAGGAGGGACCATGTCGGAACGCGGCGATAGCGACGTGGACGCGACGGAGGAGATCAACGTAGACGACTCGGATTCTCGTAGCTGCAGTCCGCGAAATTACGCGAGCCACGACGGTCGCCACGTGTCCCAGGAGACGTCCGAATGCTCCACTTCGCCACCCCCGAGCCAAACCGGCACGAGAACGCTGCCGAATGACTCTTCCCGAAGCCACCCGTTCAGCATAAGTCGTCTGCTGGGGGAAGAGCCGGATAGCGACAAGGAGAGAAAATGGTCCTGGGAGGAGGGCAATAATAACAATAACAACAACAACAGTCAGACGTCTCTGGGCGGTGTCCTGGACGATGGCAGGCGGTCCTGGGGCCACGATGTCGAGGAGAAACTGTCGGAGAAGGATGACGACGACAGCACGCCCGACACTCGAGCCAACTCATCGTCCTCGTCCGTTCACTGCGCCTCGGCGGCGGACCTTCTTGCCCCCTTCCGGCTCTTTCCTACCGGTACTAATCTCATCTACACCGGCGGCGGGGTCATAAGGGTACCGGCGCATCGGCCGCCGGGAGCGAACGGTGCACCGACCGGAGCTCTCCCTGCACAGGCCCTGATACCACCCTGGAGCCTGCAGGCCCTACAACACAGTCAACAACAGGCCGCGGCAGCGGGTCTCCACAGGGCGAGTCTCTTGGCGAACCTCGCCGCGCATCCCCTGCAACCGCATCCGCATCTCAAGGATAGACTAGCAGGTATATAGTACATAAGGTAATTTAGTGACATTTCGACATGTGTGCTCTAAGGGATAATAATTTTTAATTAAATAATTATATACATATTGCATGAAAATTGAAGATTAAGCGTGTTAAATTCCTGTTTTCCTATTAACGAGAAAATTGATGCTGCGAAAAATATCATCTCATTGTTAGCTGGCAGACAAATCTCGCGAATATTTATATTTCAAGCAAATAAACTCCATTATCGAAGCTCTTCGATGATTCCTCGGTAATTCTTAAAAAAAGTAGCCTCATTGTTTTGCGTCGATTTCTTTCTCGTTTCTCAGAATTAAATCCACAATGCATATGTGGGGGAGAAAATTTTCCTCGTCAGATTAATGTGCATTTAATCTTAAACATGTTACTGGTGCAAAATGGAATAAGACTTTCGGTAAAGTACATTGATTGTTATTGTTGATTTCTACTTCGTATTGTTAATATCTCGTTGCGTGTCGTATCTTGATTTTGAAACGAGATGATTCCGTCTCGAGTAAATGATGTTTTAGATATTTTCGAGAGAGTAGCAAGAGAGAAAATTAGATTTAAACATTTCGTTCCAGTAGAGAGTTCTTGAATTCACGTATGTAATTATAAAATAATGATATTTCGATGTACATTATATCATCGATCTTCATTAATTTATCGTAATGCGCAAAACAGCGACGTTTTAAATAAAGAATAAATGTCTTAATTTTTAATGAAGTCTAAAATAGCATCGAGCCTTTATTAGATTCTTACACATAGCTGATAATTTAAAAATAAATCTTGAAAACATATTGGATAGTTTAAAAATATGATGATTTAACAAAAAACATATATACTTATACATACTTATTTACAGAGATACATATTTGTATCTTTCTCTCTCTCTCTTTCTCTGCTGGCAGTTATTCAAATATCAGGTTTACATAAATGTATAATTCGCATGACTATATTCTACGATGTGTGGTATCTTGGTAGAAAAAGATATTAGCTATTAAACACTGTGTGAAACATTAATTGGTTTACTTATCTCTCTCGCTATTACGAATCGTTATTATACTATCTCGGCGTGATAACGATCGCGCATGTGTGGTATATATGTTCGATCGAATTATGTGTCTCACTTACATGATGCAGAAGGAACAGATGATTTATGCAATTAGCGAGATTGTCAGATATTATTAATTCCTGGCAGGGGATTGAACCGGCCGTTCGATAGAATCGAGTGACGAAATATAAAGCGACGAGAGGCGTTCCCGGTTGGCGTCGGCGATCATCGATGTCAATTCCTCTAATTGGGATGGGTATATCTTTAGACGGCGACCCCGGGCTAGAGAGAGGCGTGGATCCCTCTACTTGGTGTCATTACTGCGCTTCGCGACTGCTAACCGTATATATAGAGGATATCAATTATATATTAGCGGCGAATTATTCACTCGCGCCGTCGTCGCGATCAGAGTACGAAATCGTCGAAGACACCGAGTGACACTTTAATGGTGTGCGGACAAGCCGAAGTCGTCACGTTACGTTACGTCTCTCGCTTCGTCCGTTCGATAACTCTTTTTCTTCTCTTTGACTTGGATGATCTTGGCAATTTCTAATCTCAATTCTTATTCGGCGATATATTAACGGCTACGGAGAAAAGAGCTTTAAACTCTCGGAATTGAAATTTTAATCCAATGCAAATATGGCGCAAAATATCAGTCATATCTTGTCACGCAAACACAAGCAATAAAAATGCAACAGTTTTGTTTCATATAACATACGTACAATTTATAAACGCGATAAAGTTGCGAAGAAAAAAACACTTTTTCTGTTACTCGGAGTGCCTCGTGTTTCACCGCGTGCTTTCAAGATATCTGTAATTTGCGAAAGCAATTTAAACTCGCAATACATATCTGTCTCTTTCTCTCTTAGAAAGTATAATTTTAATTTGCTTTAATCGGGAGAAAGAGAGAGAGGGAGAGAGAAATACGATACGGGAAATGTTGCTGCGCCGAGGGATCATTACGGGCGCGATCATTGCACGCGGGTAAAGGGACGTAAAAGTGCAAAATGTTAAAATACAGGTACGTGCAAAATACATAATTAACGTTTACATTCTCTCGAATGCGCCGACTTTTTCGTGCGGGTAATGAAACCCGCTATTACTCGCGTGGCGTGAGTGAAATGTATTTATGCGTACGAGCAACATTACTCTCCCGCCCGATTATTTCGTTCGAAGTACGCTTAATGCCTGCCAAAGAGAGAGGAATATCGACACGCAATGAAACAAAGTAATCTTTCAAATATATACGTTTCTATATATGATTCCGCGCGAATGTCGATCGCGACACAATACAATTTTTACAGTGACACTTAGAAATTATCCTGGATATCGCGAATTTTCTTTCGAATGTAAATATCATAAAAACCAATCATAAAGACTTATCGAAAAATATGGCAAATCCATTACTTTTTGCTTAAAGAGATTTAAGATTATAAGAGAGAAACCACATCTAAGACATTTTCTTATAAAAGGCGCATATTAATACATGTATAATATGCACGAAAGAAGCAGTTTTTTAGTAGGAACGAAAATATTGTGATCGATATATGCGCTTGTGAAACATTATAATTAAAAAATAATGCACGCATATATACTTTGAATAATTAAAACCGTTTATTTATGTCGCGATCGCTCGAACGGGGCGAAAATGCTAATTGCGTTTGTGCTGCCATTTATTTAGCATATTACGGCGATCGGAACGGCATCGGACAAGGTGTTTTGGTCGGATCGATCGCGACGCATATATTCCGAATGTGATTTAACTCACGGGAAATATATAAGAGCGCATAACGTTTCGCTTGACGAGCGAACGGTAACTATGTCGTTATTTGCTTTGTGTCTCTTTACCTCGATTATTTCCCGCCACCTGTCATTTTGACACTGAAATGACACTCGATTAGGGTTTGAGGGAGGGAGCCGGGGACTCCGAGTCGACCGGAAATACCGCGTTGCGATTAAGACGCTACATAAATCCGAAACAATTATAAACGGAGACACTAATTGCTCGATTCTCTTCAACATTATCACAGGATTTTTACGTCCAAATATCGATCTTTACGCGTTTCAACGCGACACGCGAATTCGAGAAGGATTTTCGATTCATTGGCCGCTACGAAATAAAACGCTATAAAAATCGAGCATAACTACCGCGAAATCAGGTTGCAATTTATGTTCAGAGAAACAATCTTGCCGATTTGACATAATCGTCTCGCTCTGATTGTAAGCCAAATAGCTCTTCGAGCTGTCTAGTCATCAGCGTAGCACGAAACAAGCGAAATAGACGAAGGAGTTGTATTGTTTCTGGTGTTTTAAATTTATCCGTTTCAACTTTAATCAATGTGACTGTAGCAATATGTAAATCATTTATTTATCTTAGCCCAACTTAGCTCAATCAAATCAATAGTATGCATGTAATTGAAATATAAATTATACATAAATGGAATAGATAATTTACATGTATAAATAATGGTTCATAATAATAATGCGTTTATAAAGATGATTCAACTCGCATAAAATAGTAACGTCTCTTATCTTTATCTAGTTTTTGCATCTGTTTTTATTATCTCGGATTGATATGTATCTTATTACGATTGTGTATTTAACAAGAGATAAAAATTTAATATATGTATACTCGACCTGTTGTCGGTAATCGTTCGTTTGGACACTAATATTTATAGTACCCGATAAGTTTTTCTGGGAAGGAAATATTGTATTTTCATGGGGAGACTAGAGAACTACGCCAATGCGACTGGCAGAATGCGCTCGTCGTTAAAAGTGGGCTCGAACGATTCTACGAATGCTTCGAAACTACACTCCGCGATATTTCTCTTCGCAAAAATGCACTTTGAAGATTGTAATAACTTATGCAGTCGTCGCAAAAAATCGCAAATTTCACAAAAATTTTGTATTTTACACATATGTGACTAAATTCTTATTTTGGAAAAATATATCTAGCCCGTTAATAGTACGAGAGGAATTTACTTTTGGAATACTGTTTTATATCGTCAATTAAATTGACATGACATATCGAGATCTCACGAAAGATAAGATTATTTCGGCAGAATGCTTTCTATTTTCGGTAAATCGACACTTTATTGACTACCGATCAATTAAAATCGAGAAAATCGAGAGCGGAATAAAAAGTTCTATTAAAAACAAATTAAAGTCAAAAAAAAATCAGCGTCAAGAATGCGAAGATTAAGCTAGTATGTGAAATGGCACTTATTAAAGTTTAATAAGTTATTAAAATTTAATTTCGCTATTGCTCGTTTCGCCACGGGGTACTAAATTTAACTTATCCAAAAAGCACACACTATACGTAAAAATACATGTCAATAAACAGTTTCTTTTGTTGGAATTCCAATATTCGGAGATATAATAAAAACGAAAACTGCGTCAAAAGTTATTAATAACAAACTAATATATAAATTACTTAAATTTTAAAAAATATGCAGCATAATTGCAACGATTACCGAACTGCTTTTTAAAATGACACTAGAGCGCATTCTCGACTCGATAGTATATCATCTCAATTGTTTAGCTCTCGGCTAACTTGGACCGGTTTCTAATTGAACTCTTCAATTGTAGTTACCACGCAACGGCAGAACGGGCCCGATGATGATCCTCGGGCGATGAGTCTGCGGACCCGAGCTTGAAACGTTGCGGGGCCCGCAACAGTAATTTTCTACAATGTACGCTCTCTCTGCGCGGACAGAGAGAAAGAGACGTTCAATAATAATTAGGCCTTCGCACTTTTACGTCCGCATATTACTTCTCTGATTTACGCCCTTCTGGGAAATGGTTACCGCACAATGGCACGGGGCGCGGTGAATTCGTTTTAAGATGTTCCTTCTTTTTTTTGCGAACAAGCAAAATCGATTCCCCTTACGTAATGTCGCGTATGATTGTGATGTACATCCGAGACGATATTGGTATGCGTATAAAA